TCTCTTTTTCTTGCCAAAAGCTCATTCTGGAATAAAAAATGCATTCCGGAATCAAGAATGCATTCTAGAATTAAGTATTTTTAACAAACGCATTTTTATTCCAGAATGCAAAAATCGCTCCAGAATGCATTCCAGAAATTTTTTAACAAACGTCATTTTGTTCCGGAATGCATTCCATGCGCACCCTATGTATTCCACAGCGTGGATTCCTTAGAGTGGTGATGAAAGAGAGGTGAGCCCTGTTATTGTCCTTACGTCGGGTTCTTCTATGATGTTTTTGCATTGTGGTGGATGTGCTTATTTCGCTCTTATATAGAAGGGCCATGCTTCGAGAGTAAACCACAACTTTTTGTATAACTCAGACAACCATCTTTAGAATTTGGTTTTGGGACTGTTTTTCAGTAACTGAGGCTTCATAAGTTCTATCAAAATCAGAAGTATGGTCCAAAGAACTTAATGTAGTAGAAAAATGCATATCAACGTACATGGGATATTAGTAGACACAGATGGTGACGCAGAGAGAAGCGTAAATTTGGAACAACTCCAAAAAACTCGAAATTTTTATTCAATAATACTGTGCTCTTGATTACAAGACGGACATCTTATATATAGAGATAGGACTCCTAATACTAATGGAAACCGAATAATTAAAGAAACTCGCAATGGTAATATAGAACGCCAATGATAAATGGTAATATAGGAAATCGCCGATAAATGATAAAATAATATAGGAAATCGCTTGAATGGTTGTTTTCCCCAAAATCAGAAAAACTGCCGAGATTTCCGATGATTACGGCGATCACATTGTTCAAGATAATCACAGCTAACTCGTTCTACATCATTCCCTCCCTCTTCGGAAAAACTCGCCCTCGAGTTATGATCAGGATAGAGGGGTGTATCAGAAGCATGATACTCAAATAAGTCTGCCACATTAAATGTAGGGGAAATGTTGAGATCACCCGGAAGTTCAACTATATAGGCATTGTCGTTGATCTTCTTCAGGATGCGGCAAGGACCAATCTTCTTGTGCTTCAGTTTATTATAGGTACCTACAGGAAAACGCTCCTTTCGTAGGAAAACCATTACCTCATCGCCTACCTCAAAAATTTTCGAAAGTCGCCGTTTGTCAGCATCCTCCTTATACTTTGAATTACTCTTTGGTCTCAAAGTAATTTTAGTCCTTTTCCACACAAAAGAATACGTATTTTCCCTAGCTCGGTGTGTAGCATCAACATCATATTGCCATGGTCGACCCAGTAAAACATGACACGCATCCATCTCCACAACATCACAGACAATAGTATCTTGATATGATTTTCCGATTGAAATAGGCAAACGGCATAATTGGTTTACCTTAAGTTCTGCTCCCTGCGTATCCACCCGATCGTGTAGGGCGCGGGATGCGGCTCCGTCTTTAGTTGCAAGTGATCCACCAAGGCCTTTGACACTATGTTCTCGCAACTTCCGCTGTCAATAATGATATCGCATACTTTGTTGTTGACAGTACAGCGAGCGCGGAAAAGCTGATTCCGCTGGGTATCTTCTGTCCGCGGAGTAAGCAATAGACGACACACTACACAATTAACTTGCTCACCCACTTCATCTTCCACTCCCACTTCTTCTTCCTTTTCCCAATCTTCCTCATGCACATCTTTATCATGTTCAACGATATTGGCCATTCTACGACGAGGACAATCGCTGGAACGATGGCCTAACTCGTTACACTTGTAGCACCTGATCGGTTGGGGCTTGGCATATGGATTCTGGGTATTATAATTGGGAGTGCGATTGTTTGTTGCGACTGCTTCCTTAGGCGTCCCACTAGTACCCCCTGGAACTCGGCTCGAATCAGGTGTTTGTTGACTAGAACTTGCAATATCAGGCTGTCTTCCTTTCCCGAATGACCCACGACCCGAATAATTGCTACCACGAGTACTAAGGCTAGTCCTCTCCAATTGCACCTCAATTTTTCGCGCCATATCCTGGGCGTCTTCGACAGAGAATAGTCGATGCAAAGAAACCCGATCCTGAATATTAAGTCGCAAACCATTAATGTACCTAGCAGTTTGTTGTGCCTCGGACTCATCCAGGTTATTACGAGCGGAGAGTCGAAGGAACTCTTCCGTATAAACTTGGACCGATCTATTCGATTGTCGGCAATTTTGGAATTGCTGAAATAACAGTTGCTCATAGTCCGTTGGGAGGAACCTCTTCTTCAACTTCTGTTTCATCTGACCCCAAGATCGAATAGGAGCCTTGCCTTGTCGACGTCGCGTCAATTGAGTTTGTTCCCACCAAGCTGAAGCGCCACCCTTCAACTTGTACGCCACAAGTTTCACTTGGCGATGCTCGTCAATATCCATAGCGTCGAAGAATTTCTCGACCTCCCAAAGCCAATCAAGGAAATCTTCAATATCCAAATTCCCATTGAAAGTAAGGAGATCTACCTTTAGTTGATATTGCTCAGGATCTCGTCGATATCCTCCCTGATGTCGATTCCCACGAACATGCTCCTCCTGGAGTCTCCTGTATCGGCGACCACCACGAATCTGCATCTCCTGAAAATCATCGTCTTCGTCTTCCGTATCCTCGACATAGTCTTGACGCCTATGTTGGGGAATTCCTCCACGCCCCATAGCATCTTCGGGATCACGAACGACAGGAATTCGCTCGGCCGGAAGAACGCCAGGCGCATGGTTTGTGGACAAACGCTGGATGGCATCAAGGATCTCTTGAAACCTCCGATCGGTTTGATCCACAAACTGATTGAACTCAGCCCGCGTAATAGGCTCGTTCTCACGGCCCTCAGCAGCGGGGAGATTGACATTCACGTTATTCACCATCGTCACAGGAGAAACCTGCTCTGATACCAAATGACGCAGAGAGAAGCGTAAATTTGGAACAACTCCAAAAAACTCGAAATTTTTATTCAATAATACTGTGCTCTTGATTACAAGACGGACATCTTATATATAGAGATAGGACTCCTAATACTAATGGAAACCGAATAATTAAAGAAACTGCCTGAATGGTAATATAGAAAACTGCCTAAATGATAATATAGGAAACTGCCTTACTGGTAATATAGGAAACTGCCTAACTGATAATATAGGAAACTGCCTAAATGATAATATAGGAAACTGCTTGAATGGTTGTTTTCCCCAAAATCAGAAAAACTGCCGAGATTTTCGATGATTACGGCGATCACATTGTTCAAGATAATCACAGGCTAACTGTTCTACATCAGATGGACATTATAAGTATAAGAAATTTAAACCTGATATGACAAATAAACCGGTTTACCTAGATAAATGAGCAGTGGGTGATGGGCCGTTACTTTCATTGTTAATAATGGACCCTCACCATCTCATTTTCCTATATATTATGGAAAGGGTGTCTCTAGTGTCTGTACTATTAACCAGATTTCGAACCGTCAAATTGAGGTTGGTTGAAACTTCTAACACTTAAATTTTTGTGACGCACATTGCAAATTTGGAAATTTCTCTAGCACCCCCCTGTTAGAGATATTTCCGTGTATGCATCTAATATATGTGTGCTCATATATCTTAGACATCAAATCATATGGACCCCATATGATATGTCACGTGGTTTCACGGATAAGACGTGTCTACGCTTGGCTTTTTATTTCTCTTTCAATCCGAGCAGAGTGAAAATTGTTGAAAAGGTTATAATCAGCTCCGATAAGCAGCCCAAACCCAATCGCGACACGACATCAAAAGTCACTAATAAGGTTGATCGAAATGAATACAGTGCACCTATGCTGTTAGTGGGAAATAAAGCAAGCCGATAGATTGGATTAAAATTTAGGGACTATGGTGTTTCCATCAATCTTGATCGAAAGGAGCTCTCTCTTACTAATCTCTTATTCGTAAGTTACATATTAACATGTTACCGTCCAGCACATGTCAACCCTAATCTTAGAATTGTGAGTAGCTTTCCAAGCTCAGAGAGTATAAGGGCGTCGTTGAAATGTTGAAAAAAGCTCAACATCTGTACCATTTCCTTGGGAATATGTCGTAGAAGACAAGGAAGCCACGAGCAGGCCCCCGGTGATTTGAATTGGATCTGTCGGTTACTCACCGTGCTCTGATTGGGAAGCTTTCGGAGCCTATTCCCTGTTAAAGATGACATTTGAACAGTTCATCACGTCTTATCATCGTGTTCATTCTGTTTCTGTGAACCTATGTAAGCCAATTTAAGAGGACTCGTAATATTAAATTTCACATAATTTGATATCTCACATCAATTGGGTCAAGAGACAGGTCCACGTAAAAGTCGAGAAAGACTTGACTCACAAAAGTCGTCTTTTGTTGGAGATGGAAACTTGCCACATAGGCTCGGATAGGTACGGCTCTTGGTAGACTTCTATGATGACGGAGGGGGCTCGAATGTTCTGGACCATGCATCCCATTGTGGGATTATCGATGGGCGGTACAAGCTAATACTAACAAGCACGCCAATGGTTTAAGTGGAGGATCTTGTGACACCCTAAGTGCTATGGCCAATGACTGAGGTCTTATGATATTATTTCATAAGCAAGAATCACCTCCAAATGATTACCATCTTGCCTTGTTACTTGCATAGTTCCTTTTGAAATCTTGACCAACCTGAAACTGGCCGGGTTGTTGCAAACCTCTGCATTGTAGCTTCTCGACCCCCAATGTGCCACCCATCGCTATATCAAAAACCTATATCTCTTTCTCTGTGCACGCGCATGTTTTGCGGCCGAAGCCAGTGCTAATTTGGCAGTCATTCGTGTTCATAAAGTATGCTTTCATAAATGGAAAATGATAAGGTTATCGTTATAGTCTCTGGGGTAGCATGCTTCTCTATGTTCATCCCTTACATTGCTCAATCTGCATCACAAGTATATAATATCGATACTTATTCACTTTGGTTTAAATATTAAAACAATAAGTTACAAGTGTATACATTGAGACGAGCTAAGAAATAGACCATTCCCGATACGAGAAAGGAGCTTAGGCAAGAGATGTTTTATTCTTAATTTATCACTCAAATCCATGATTTATTTGACCTATGAAGGTTTTATTCTCATGGATAGTGCATAGAACAAGCTTTAGAAACAGCAACACATCTACTCAGCCGCCCCTCCGAACCGGGCCTTGTACTCGCTAAACAGTTGATCGACCGTCCTTCCTAGCAACTGCACGAAGAAGTCATCACTGTAGCCATCTCTCATCTTCTTGTTGAGCTCCGCCACAAACCCGTTCCTCCGACTCTCGCAGTAATCTAGGAAATAGGCCGTCACGGTGGAGCTCTCGCCCCAGCAGTTCCCCGCCCCCCGCCTGGGCCACGTCGCCGGCGCTAGATTCGCCCTCAGCCTCACGAAATCGGCGATACCCTCGATTACTTTCCTTGCGCTTGGGTTCCCTCTTCCGTCCCACTGCCACACATGCGTCATCTCATGGTACATTATGCCGGTGAACTCTTCCTTATCACCTATATTTTAACAAATTTTCATTTCATCTCCTATATAGAGAGGCTAAAGTACTTTATAGTTCTGTGCACCAACAATGAAGAAATTAATATCCTTAATTAATGTTATCTAGATGACAAAAATCGCTATAACAAAATGAATACTACTATGGGTCGTTGGTAGCACTTAAACAACGTAATTGTCAATATCGTTAGCTTTCTTTAACCTAAAAGAAAATGAGAAGAGAAAAAATGTAAATGCTAGGGTTAATACCATGAAAAATGCCAAACTGGTACACCTGTGACAATTTTATCCCAAACTAATTTTTTGACCACAAAAAGCCTTAAACTGGTACACCTGTGACAATTTTACTCCAAACTAATATTTTGACCACTAAAAACCCCAAACTGATACATTTGTGTCAAATTTACGCTACATTAATTTCCGTCAAATTGGATTAATACAAAAACAAAATATCACAAACTGGTACACTTATGACAAAGGAAGGGTAAAACATAAAACTGACACATCAGTCAACTACCGCGTGTTATTTAACAAAGCAATTTACCAGTAAAATGTAACGGAAATAAACTGAGGGTAAAATTGTCACAGGTGTACCAGTTTGGGATTTTTGGTGGTCAAAAAATTAGTTTTGAGTAAAATTGTCATGAGTATACCAGTTTGAGGTTTTTTGTGATATTAACCCTAAATGCTAATTATCCTAGTCACATGGAATCTATATTCAAGCATAAAAAACCTCTGAATCTTTCGAATTCGTGTCTCTTTATGTCGTCACTCTTTACCTTGTATTTCCCTGACATAGTTAGCACTGAAATGGATTTCACTGCCCGTTGCGGCTGCTACATCGTATAAGTTATCAATGATTAACCTCACACGAGCCACATCTTTCCGGTCAGCCGCGGTCGCTTGCTGGAAGACCTGCCATATGAAGTTGGTGGCTGCAATCATGGTCTGCCGAGCGTACGCGTCTCCGATCCGATCTGCGAAGATCGCACCGCCTTTAGTGTTCGGGACTGTGTTGGAGACGGTGAATTCGACGGCCTGGATTTTACTTAGAGATGCAACGATTAGGACGAAGGAGAGCAAGAAATAAGATGAAAGAGCCATTGTTTTGATTATCTTGTGCGGGGGATCTCTTGCTCATGTTATGGATGCTCCTTTGGCACTTTATACACGAGGAGTTTCCCCACAGCTCACGTCAAAGGTCAGCGAAGGTTAATTGACTATTTGTATCTAACGAAAAATATCTCGTATAAACTCCTTCTAATGCATTAGTGATGTCTCACGCCCGGGGACGCCAACCAACCCTCGCCGACCCCGAACAAGGCTGCCATGCCCAGATCAGGAGTGGGCATTACGACCCTTGCTTGTGGCGGCGAGGGTTGGCAGGTGACCCTTGCTGGAACCCTCGCCAAGTTGGCGACGCCAACTCTCAGTCCAAAAAAAAAAAGGTAAGAAAAGAAAAGAAAAGAAAAAACAAAAAAGAATTATAAAAATTCAAAATATTGTTTAAAAATGTCCGCACCAGCACTGGCTGTGCCATGTAAGCTGGCTGGCATAGCGATTTTAGGTCAAAATTGGCCGGATTGACTCAATTGGCAAAATGTAAAAAGGTTTATGATCAAATTGGCAAAATATAAAAAGATTTAGGACCCAACTGGCACAATTGAAGACCTAGGATTGAATTAGCACAAATATAATAGGTTTGAGACTTTTTTGATGATTTTCTCTTAATATGAAATTGACTTTGAACTTGTAGATTAAACCTAAACAACATCTTATGGACTTTGTGCCCGTTCATGCATGTAAATCTATAGTCAAATGTATTTCTCCATTGCTTTGTATCTTGCTTCATCTATTATTAGAAGGATTTTCTTATGATTGATGGGTTACAAGTATGGACGTCTTTCATTTAAGTTCGTATATGAGTGACATTTATATGTATATCCCACCAATTAGACAACTGATTGGAGGAGGGAAGGTAGTAAAAGCACAACCCCAAATAATCAAATTCGCACATAGATCAGTTTGCTTATATGGGCAGCATCGAATTACTCGTATCTTCACTTCAATACAAGACAGAAAGGATATTCAATCAAAATGTTCATTTTCCTGTGGTGCCATGAACCCTAACACATCTTGATGCGTTCCGAGCTTTGTCGTCATGTTTTCAGAATTCTATCAAGTGTTCAAATCTCGTGTACTCTTTTCGAGCATGTCGAACGAGGAAATTTTTGGGCTTGGTTGTTGGTGGACTCTCACAATCTAACCCCACAAGGAATGTGTGATCTCTGATGAGACGTGTAGGAGATATCTGAGTTTGAATTGTCGTGCGCATATCCATAGAATATCAAAACGTTTGGTAACTATAGCTTAGAAATTTCAATGAGCGAGTTATCACATAGAAATTGTGATACCCTCAATTTAGGAGGTAATGTAAATTAACATCTGCAATTTATCTCTTTTGACCTGTTCATTTCATCAAATCCAAGAGCCAGATGTCTCATCTCTAGTTTTTCCGATTTCTTTTAAGTCTTTTTCCTTTCCTCGTTCATTTTTTTGATTCCCTTGTCTCCTTTGTTCTTTTCCCGATTGAGAGAGAGAGAGAATGATGGATGGCGGCGAGCGACGGGCAGCTGCAGCACGGCGCTGTGGTGAGTCGGCGTCGAGGAGGGTGATCGGTGAGGAGCAAATGCAAGGAGCGAGTGCGAAGGCGCAACGATGAGGAGAGGGACGGCGGAGCTGGAGCCCAAGATGGACGAGTGGAGAGAACAGAGGAGAGAGTTAGGGTTTTAAAGATGTACGTATTAATTCTCATAAAGCATAGGAGAGAATGCACCCCTAAGCCATTCTGGCCTATTATTTAGAAAAGGGATGACCGTAAAAACCATTCTCAACTTTGCTCTTCACATCAAATATCAAATACACTCACATTTGAAAACCCACATTTTGAAACAGCGAAACTCTATATCCAAACCCCTCTGCCACTCTCTTCCCATGCCCTGTCTCCCTCCTTACACGCAACAGCACAGCACCGCCAATCGGGAGACCCCCACAGCGTCGAGCCGCTGCTTGAAGCCACAGCCTGATCCCTACCCCGACCCCAACACCGATGCCAACACCGTCACCCTTGCTCGCCGCTTGCGCCCCTCTCCTTGCATCCCTCTATCTGTATGTGGCAAAGATCGTTTGCGACTCGCTGCAGTGATGCCACGTGAGCTCACCTTGTGCTTGCGGCTCATGGTTGTAAGGCTGTGTAAGCTTGAGGGCCGCAAGCTTCTGCTATAGACTCGGGAGACCATCGCGGCCTATGGCCGTGAGCCGAGAGGGCAACAATGACGCGTGAGTGGAGAGGGAGAGATGTGGTGGCGGGCGTGTCGGACTAAAGGAAGCCTCTGCAGTTAAATTACGTGCGGGTGAGAGATGCGGCTTGAAATTTGGGAGGGGCTAGCATAACGGTGGGGTTAAAGATGACGGTGTAACCGTCTAACGCCAGCCACAAATTTGTTTTGAGGAAACTGGAAGACTTCTTGAACAGGTTTCAATTTTTGACTTCTATGTTTCCCTTTTTATTGTTTTTTTACTTCTATATTTCCTTTGCAAGCTCAAATTTGAAGGCAAAATCAGAGGAGGCCCACTGTTCTTTTCACTATTGTAGGCAAGATACAATTGAATCTTCTAATCCGAAATTAAATCGTAACGAATTAAATCCTCTAATCCTAAATCCGCTAAAGTGAATTTTCTTTGATATAAAAAAGAAAGAATGATTTAAATACTGAAATATAAATAATCACAAATAAAAAATATGATGACTAACTAAAAAGAAATCATTAGTGTCATCATAAAGATCTATTAAATTTCAAAAATGAAAAAAAAGAAAAGAAACGTTAGCTTTGCAGCTAATAATGAAATCATTGTGTAATAAAATGACTTCTCATTCCTTTTGCTCAAATCAAATTGCTTTAGAAAAACTCACTGGTGACTTAAAATTAAGACCAATGATATCAGTTATGCATAAAACAAGAATGTTTTAAAGAAACAAATCAAAGTAATAATATTCAAGAACATTGATTCTATGGGCCCTCTCCTGATTTTTGTTTCTAAATTTATATTTCAGTATTTAAATCATTCTTTCTTTTTTATATTGATGAAAATTCACTTTAGCGGATTTAGGATTAGAGGATTTAATCAATTATGGTTTAATTTAGCATTAGAAGGGTTAATTGTATCTTGCTTGCAATAGTGGAAAGAACAGTGGGCCTCCTCTGATTTTGCCTTCAAATTTGAGCTTGCAAAGGAAATATAGAAGTAAAAAAAAAACAATAAAAAAGGGAAACATAGAAGTCAAAAATTGAAACCTGTTCAAGAAGTCTTCCAGTTTCCTCAAAACAAATTTGTGGCTGGCGGTAGGCGGCTACTCCGTCATCTTTAACCCCACCGTTATGCAAGCATTTCTCTTGAAATTTATTGTAAAAAGTGCAGATGATATTTGAAGGTTTCGAAATGTGAGAACTGTATTTGACATCAGAAATAAAGTTGAAGATGGTTTTTATATTTTTCCTTACGAAAGTGTGGCTGGCCTTTCACACACACGCAAGCAAACCCTAGTTTCAAACTCTCTCGTTTCTTAAAAAGCCAATTTAAACAAAGGCACCGATTTAAATCAGATTCCTCACTCTCCAGGTACAATTCATCATACCACAAGGTGTGATCAATTCCATGTTTGGCTTGGGCAACCTATCTCAGTTCGTGCTTGCGCGTCAATTTGATCACAAGGTTAATTGGGTATTTCATAAGTCTGGTGTGTATCTATTATAAGGTAAGTTTTCTCATCATGAAAAAACATACATTGTGATGAATGTTGGACAAACTTATGTATTATAAAATTCCTCTAGATTAATGAGACCGAGCTTTGGCTAAACCAAATAAACTTATTACTCGACAAAGCAAATTATGCAATTTTTAGAAAGAGATCGCTAGTAGATTCAGAATTTCTCTTCTCTTTCGCTGGAATAATGAAATATTATATGATAAATCAATACCGTTATACAGAAGAAAAGAGGGGAAGCCCCAAAATCAAAGCCCAGTTCGAGAGGCCTAAGCAAAAAAGGACTGTCCTTGCTCAACTTTCGATACATCATCTGTGCATTATGAATGGAAACTTCTTTTGATGTGGATATATTTACCAAGATTAGCTCGTATATCGAAATGATAGATTAACTCATAAAAATGGTTAAAATGAGGACTCCAATTATCAATACGAATGGACATCACGGAGTATAGACCGAAAAAAGGAATGATTAAATGTTACGAATTGCCGTTCTACTAATTATTTATCGATAAATTTCCAACGTAGTGACAGTCACTCTAAGCCCTCTTTTAAGAATTATTTTAAAAATCCAAGAAAATACAACTCTTCTTTTTGAGTATCTTGATTTAGTTAAAAGTTTCGTAAGTAATAACCAAGCAGCGTCGAGTCGACCTATCCATTCCATTGGGGAAAATGGTCGCCTCTAGATTCCAAAATGACAAAGGATATGTAGCTGAGAAATACAAAGCCAACAAAGGACAACCTTTTTGCATGAATCTTACCAACATTTAGGCGAGTAACAACTTTGGGGGCCTCGCGATATCTTAGATCCTTGGTTTGAGCAAAAGGAATGAGAAACTTTGGGGACAACCTTCTTTTTTGTCGTTTTCATTAATATAAATTCTTTAGCAAGATCCTTGGTCGGGTACCTAATTACAAATTGACAAGCTCTTAAATCTTGAATTCGCCAAGAAAAAATGTCTCCCTCTTATATCTTGGGTGTCACCCTCCTTTTCCTAGTCACTTTCCCGCCGGCTCGCGCGGTGAAGTACCAAGTCGTCGACCGGACCGACTACATAACCGGATGCAACCGGTTCAAGACAGAAATCGGATCCTTCTACACTAAGCAGCTCATGAAAGCCGCCTCGAGCTCCATTTGGCTGACCTTCAACGAGTCGATCGGCGAGAGGAAGGACCACGACCAGGTGACGCTGGTCATCCGTGGCTTCCGTCCAGACCAAAGCACGCTTGTCTCGAGGACTTTCAACAGCACCATCCTGATCAACGCCGAGCACATCCAGAACTACTCCGGT